ATATGTATATGTATATGTATATGTATATGTATATGTATATGTATATGTATATGTCATGTATAGTCTGGATTCAAATGGTTAAATCATCATTTCCATTACAGGTTAATTTTAGATCTTGATCCATTACCAACTAATTTTGAAGAGGATACAGTAGAACTGTTTGGCATCCAGTGGGTTACTGAGACAGCACTAGTCTATTCATGTCGAGAGCTCTTTCATTTATTCAGGTATGTATGTGTTTATTTTTAACTCTAAGGCTGTCTAGTTTTATATTGCTGGTTTTTCCACTACTGATTACCAAAGCATCAGGGAAATTGCTCTTGTTTTGTTGCTTTGTTGGTGGTCTTACCAGGAAACAATCAAGCAGTAATGACTGATAAATAATGGTTTTAAGGAGTTTATATTGCTTATATTGATAAACAATCCTTATCAATATATTTGTGAGTATGGGCACACATGTGTGATTCTAGAGATCAAATCTAGGCTATTGTAAATGTTAGGCAAGCATCCTACTACTGAGCACTGAATAGCCACACTGAAAAACTATTTATGTATGTGTATAATGTACATATTCTATATATAACACATTGTATATGCATTTTTTGTTTGTAAGACAGGTTGTCAACTATAGTCAATGTGTAGCCTAGGTGGACCTAAACATGCTGGAATTACAAGCATGAACCATCATGCCTGGCTTTCTTTTTTTTCATCATGTTTCAAAGATAAAGATTTAAACTATATTCCATGAACCCTCATAAAGAGATGTCAGTGTATCTTTGATGTATTATATGTTGTAAATTTTTTTTTCTCTTTAGGTCAACACAAAAATCAAGTTTATGAATGTTTTGAGTACCTGTATGTATGTGTACTATATGCATGTGTGATGCCCACAGAGGTCAGAAGAGGGCATTGGATCCCATGGAATTGGAATTTTGGATGGTTGTGAGCTACTACCGTACATACTGGGAACCAAATGCATGTCCAAAAATGCATGAGCAAAAAGTGCTTTTAACTGATGAGCCATCTCTCCAGCTTTGTGTTATTTATTGGGAAAACAAGCTGAGCAATTTTTCTGTAATTCTAAATATTGTAGTGAAGTTGGTCTTTATCCAAGAGAGTTTGAAGGCAAATGGAAATGATGAAATTGGATTACCATCAGGAATTAAAATGAAGCATCCTAATAGCCTTACATATATATTTTTTATTTATGTATCTGTTTTAGTTTGGTTTTCTATCACTGTGATTAAAGACCATGACAAACGCAACTTGTGGAAAAAAGGGTTTATTTGGCTTATAGGTTTCAGTTCATCTCAGAAGGCAAGACAGGAGCCTGGGTGTGGAAACTGAAGCATAAACCACAAAGGAATGCCACCTTCTGACTTGCTCCCCATTGCTTACTCAACCTGATATATTATGCTGTCTAGGGCCACTTGTCCAGGGATGACACCATCCCCAGTAAGCTGGCTACCTATATCATACCAAACATTAATCAAGAAAAGGCCCAAAAAAGAAAAGGCCCTTAGACTTTGCTGTAGGCAAGCTGATAGAGGCATTTTCTCAAATGAGGTTCTTCTCTCCAGATAACTATTTTGTACCAAGGTGACTAGGTATTAATTAGGACAGTAATCCTTTACATTTTCTGAACCACTATACACAGCTGTATGATACAATTTAACATAAAACTTAACCCTACAATGTTTTATATATCTTAAGTTTCCTGAAGATAGTAATTGATATTGAAGTCTGATTCTCAAATAGTTCCTGTGATCTATCTTCTATACTTTTGTAAGTTTAAACAGAGATGTATTTTTATGCATTGTGTATTTTAAAATTTATGTCTGAAGCTGACTTTTAATAAACATTACAAAGTGAATTATAACAAAAATGAATTGTTAGTTCCATAGTGCTAGAAACACAACCCATGTAATTGCTATGTGCTTTACATTATGCTAAAGTTTACTCTCTTACATTTTTTAAATCAGGCAACAGATATTTAACTTGGAGTCCTTGTTACAAGTCAACTGTGATTTTGGTAAGTTTAATATGTATTTAATTACACAAAAAGAAATACCACTCTATAGACTTGCATATAAAGTTCTAAAGTGTAACTGGAATTTCATAAAAATATGAAATGTTATATCAGAGGGTCATGATATAGTGTATTTGGTATTTCAAAAGAATATGACTTTTAAATGTTGTTATAACTGATATTTATAGTATTGTTTTTCAACTATGTAGGATTTAAGGTAAATTTGATTTGAAAAAACCCTAAGCTTTACTGAGAGAATTATTTCTTTGGAGGCGATGAATTGGTTGGAGAACATAAACACAAGATAAAGAAGTTAACAGACTTCTTAGGACTCTTGATCTTCTTTTCTTGCTTTCTACGTCTGCTTCCTTTTGACATTTAGTGGATTGTTGATTTAGTGGAGTAGTGTAGGTGTCTTTTGAAGGAAGTTGAACAGCAGTGTTTTTATTGTAGGCCAGCTGCTTCTCCTTGTAACAATTTTAGTGCAATGTAGTATTTGGAGTCCTGACTTTGTGTTCAACCTAGGTTTTAAACTTAGCTAATAATGTGTCTCTTATGTAACAGTTACGCTCTTATTGGTTGAGTTCTTGTATAGTTTAAATACCATGATGCATATTAAGTGTTTATTTGTGTCTGTCATACTGCCTATAAATAGAGATCATCTGGAATGTGTTTTTGGTCAAATAGGTTCATTAATTTATCAAAACATTGAGTAAATGCACATGCATTTGCTGATATGTGTAAGATGTAATGGCTATGGGGTATTCTGGATTGGATGCTGTTAAAGAGCAAAGGCAATTGGATGAGCCACAGGAAGGAAGGTTGGGAGGGTTTTTAGTAATTAAACTGGGCTTAATAGCATAAAGACAAAGATGTTCCCTGTGGTATGTGATTGCATAGAGCCTTATTTCTGTGTTCAGACATGATTATAAAGGGTTGACTTTTGTCACTTCACTATAACCACAGAGAAGTACTATCTTATTTTTGTATTTAATGAAGGTTGTTTATTTTCCGGCATCAAAGTCTACCTGTTATTACCTGCTAGTTGTTAACTGTCAATTTATGTAGTAATTTGTACTTTTCAAATTTGCTAATTAAGAAATTGAACAGTCCTAACTAGTGTGCAGTTTTATAGAGTTGTTTCCAATGTTCTTTAGTCTAAGGCAGTGTGCTCTTGGTTTCTCTTAGTTTTGGTCTCTTATGTATTATAATACTTATCAGTGTTTTGCATATAGTAGCAATGTATATAATTCTTCGTAATGTGAATGTTAAAAAAATTGAGCAAAAAGAGTGACAGGGGATGCGTTTAGGAGAATTAGTGAAAGATTATTTCATATATAGATAATTAAAAAGAGTTTTGATTTCATTATGAATATAGTTAGTGACCTAATATTCATTTTGACTTGAGAGCAACAAGAATTAATTCACAGGGCTAGACAAATGGCCCTTAAGCAGGTACTACTCTTGTGGAAGAACTGAATTTTGTCTCTAGTATACTATTTTGGGCAGCTCACACCCACCTGTCACTCAATTAAAAGAAAAATGGTATCGTAAAGAATTCATATTTTAAGCAAGTCTTGCAAATAGATTATAGGAAGGTGAAACAAAGTCCTATTGTGGGTTCTGTTGTGGTATGTGAGATAGAGAAAGTAGGTTATTTCAAGGTATGTTTGTTGTAAACTTAGTAAGACTTACAAGGTAGATTTTAAGTTAAGCCTGTAAAAAATTTTGGCCATTGCTCACTGACAGTGTTTAAGCTATCCTTGATAGTATCTGTTTCCTTTTAGGGAAGATAGCCACCTTGCACGCCAAAGCAGACAGTATTAGACAGCAATGTGTAGTGTTTCTTCACTACATTAAAGTTTTCATCTTCAGGTAGGATAACAGATGAGTATTTTTATTGTTTGATTAATATCTGTGGGTATATTCACACAGACTCCTGTATATTTATTCTCTCTCATGACTTTTTAGGTATCTGAAAGTACAAGAAGCCGAGCGCCACAGTCTCCCTGCCCATCCCTATGAGGCTTTGGGAGCTCAGCTTCCTTCCATGTTGGTTGATGAGCTTCGTGGATTACTTCTATATATTGGACATCTAGCTGAACTTCCCAGTGTTACTCTAGGAGCATTTGTAAATCAAAACCAGATTAAGGTTTGATTAGTTTATTTTTTAAATTATCCAACTTTTTTCTCCTCCAAGAAAAAGTATTATTCAAGAATGAGAAGAACTTGTACATGTATGGCACGAAATGAAACTCTGATCTGCTTGTTAGTTATGTCTTTTTACTATATATGTGCCTTACCTCAGTCTCTCCAGTTACACAGCTTCCTTAACTTCCAAGAGATATGGGAAGAATTAAATGATTGGTGCCTCAAGTGTATAAAACACTACCTGTATCAATAGCTGTTCTCCATTTAACAGTGTAAATGCTTAGAAGTTTCAAATAAAAATTAACGTGTTTGAAATTTCTGTCATTCTCATTGATAAAGGTTTAGGCAAATATGTCATATATTATAGTAAAATTTAAAAAAGAAAGTTGATCTCTCTCTCTCTCTCAGACAGTGTCTTATGAATCTGAGGTTGGCCTCAGGGTGACCTTGAACTTCTGATCCTTCTGCCATTTTTCCCCCCAAGTGTTGAACTTACAGACCCAAACCATCATACCCAGTTTATGAAACACTGGAAATTGTCCTTGGGTCTTTATGTATGCCGGCAAAGCACTCTACCAACTATATACCCTTAGCCTCAAAGGAAAATTATGTGGAAAAATGCACTTTCACATCTGCACCTTAATATCCCAGCTTAATGGTATTCATAGTGTTAGGTTCAAGCCCACGTCTATGTATTCCTATCCCTTAGACTTTTTTGGGACGTGGTTGGTTGTTTCAAATATGCCTCTTTTCTACCAGTGATAAACACTTACTCTGAAGTTTGATTTTTTTTTTTAAAAAGGTATTAATATTACAGTCTAGCTTATAGGTAAATAACAGGTAAATTCTGCATATTAAAATTGGAGCATATGTAAATGAGAAGTTATGAAAATTTATGAGATTCTTTGAACTTTTAATCCCTTTTATTGTATTTGGCTTTACTAATATCAGTAACTAGGTTTTTAGTAACATGATACTAGTCAAAATTTATATTTTGGTGGACTTTCATGTCAGAATATCAATGTTGAGATCAATATTTAAGAATAAAAGTGTTTGAAAATAACTTATAGGTTAATGTGTTTAATACAAAGAGAGCAACTCAATACTTGCTTTTTAAATTCTGTCATATGATAAAGTTATATGCGTAGTTTGCAAAGGAAGGATAATTTCCTTTTTTGTTTTCTGTGTATTGGAGTGGTTGTATTTTCTTAATATCCTTCAAATGCATAAGAAAATAAACATGAATAACTTATATTAGCAGAAAGTAGCCTTTGTTCACAAGAGTCTTTATCTGAGATCTTTGTAGACATTTTGATTTGGTGGACTTGAACTAGTTTATTTGAGGTCTATAAGATTATATACTAAAGCAGGAGAACTTCTTATTCTTAAAATATAAAATATATACAAAAATACTATTCTGCAATGAAATAATTTTTAAAAATGTAAGATTTTTTTTATGTAGCATATTATCTTGTGTACATATGAAAACCATTTTAGTTACTATTTCCAGCTAAGCATCCAAAATACTTGCATTACAGATATTACTTATTAGATCTTATACATTAAAAATAGTTTCTTCTATTTATTTGTTGGTTTTTCTTCACCAATTAACCTGAATTTTCCAGATGATTGATTGTGGGTTCCTGTGTGTGTGTGTGTATGTGTATGTATTTGATTATATTTGTTGATTCTCTATTATGTCATTTATGCTGGTAAAAAGCACTTTGGTTTCTACATTTATAGCTGTCATTAATTTCTTTTAAAATGTGTAGGAGGCAGGGCTAAAGAGATGCCTCAGAGGTTTAAGAGCATGGGCAGCTCTTCCAGAAGACTTGGATTTGATTTCCAGCAACCACATGATGGCTCACAAGCGTCTATAACTCCAGTTCCAGGGTATCTGGTGCATTCTTCTGGTCTCCATGGTCACTTCATGCACATGCTGCATATGCATACATGCAAGCAAAACACCTGTATACATTATAATTTTCAAAATATGAAGGGAAATAGGAAATCTGATACTAGTTTCTGTAAATGAATGTGAACACTATTAATGGGTTACATTTTCCTCATTGATTTGAGATGTCATATTTATTTATCTCTTCTCTGTTCTGCTGCTTGTTTTCTCTCCCTGTTCTACTATGTTATTAGTCTAGCATTTTAGTTTGTTTGTAATGACAAAGAAAAACCCTTGTCATTTTTTTTCTAGGTATTTCAGTAGAACTTGTTAATGTTACTTGTTTTTACAGTGATACTCAGTATTGACAGGTGGTAACCCAGTGTAGCTAAGAGCTAAAAATTCTGACTTGATTTCGATAGAATTGTTTGAATGCTTAATCATGGATTGAGAGATAAAATTCTTTAATTTTGTGAAGATGACTGTTTGGTTGGTTTGATAATCTGAAGTTCACTTTTTTATCTCTTATCATTCCTATGCACTCACTATATATAACTTACTTTAATATGCATTAAAGAATATTTCTTAGATAAGTCTAAAGCAAAACCTGTATCTTAAAGATTTCTTTGCAGCCCCATGGCTAAATAGAATCAGTGGTTGGTTCGAAGGGGTCTGTACTGTCTAGTCTATTCAGCCATCTCAAGTGTGTACTTGTATTAAACCAGAAAGAAAAAAATGTATTCTTTCAAGGATCTCCACTGAAAGAATTCTCTAGTCAAAGACAAGTTTTTCCCTGAGATTTTGAATAGTTGGTTCTTCATCTGTGTGCATGGAGTTCTGTGATGTGGTACAAAATACCTGTGGTACAAAATTTTAATTCATTCTTGGTAATGTCATTTACAGCTCTTCCCTCCATCATGGCATTTATTACATCTCTACTTAGATATTCATTGGCTGGTGTTGGAAATACTGCACATGCTGGGAGAAAAATTGAGTAAGTTTACGATTTTCTGTCTTAATTCTTTTTAAAAATCCTAAGGATTGATTGATTGGTTGATTCTTTTTAAAAATCCTAAGATTGAACTATTGACTTTCTGATTGATTGATTCATAATTTTAAAATGGAATTAGCTGAGTATACTGGCATATAGTCTATAATCCCAGCTCAGGGTTAGCTGAGGCAGGAGGATCATGAGGATAGCTTAGATTATATGCTAAATTCTGGGTCAGCCTGAATTACGTAGTAAGAACCTGTTCAAAAGAAAATAAACAATTTTATTGCATTATAAGTACTTAGTGACGTTTAAAGAAAAAAGTAGATAAGAAGTGTTCATGCCTCTTTTTCACTCAAGGTGTCCATCTTTCATTTAACAAATTGTGTGTGCATGTGTGTGTGTATCGGGACAAGGTCTCTGTTTCTTTTTTTTTTGAGAGTTTTTTTTTTTTTTTTTTTTTAAATCTGTGTAGCCCTGGCTGTCCTGGAACTCCTGGTTGCCTTAAACTGACGGATATTCGTCTGCAGTGCTACATTTAAAGGTGTGCAGCAAAACTGTCTGGCTGAGACAGTCTTTTACTGACTTAACCTGGACATGCCATTTTGGCTAAACTGACTGACTAACAATTCCCCAGAGTTGTCTTTCCCTACAGTTGGATTATAGCCCTTGCTGGCTTTTGCTTGGGTGCTGGGGATCAGAACTAGGGTTTCTGTAGTGATATAGCAGCACTTTAACCACTAAGATTCCTCCCCAGCTCCCATTTAGCAGCTTTTAAGAGATCTGCTTGTGAAAGTACCTGTGGTTCAGTTTTCCAAGGCTGCGTGCTTCAGATCTACTACAGTTATTCAGCCATGTCTGCTTTTTAACAATAGATTTTGATTTTTTAATATTGTAAATAATATTTCCCAGAAGACACATATACATGCAGCTTTAATTTGTATACATGTTCTGTAACGTATTTCCTTAGACATAGAATGGAGCATTGAAGTTTTGACATTAATTATAGATTATGTTTTTTTACTTCAGACTCTTGCCAGTAATGGATTTATGTTGCTAATACATGGAAAGAGATACCAAATGTCTCTTTTTCTTCAATGGCTTTTTGGTTATCAGTTAACGTCAACATCTTTACATAATTTTAATCTTCTGTTATTTGCTTGTCTTTTATTTTTGCAGATTTTCTAATTTTCTTTTAGAAGCTTGTATATATGGATATTAATCTTATACTTCAGATGCTGTGATATATTTTGTTAATTTGGTCTTCTTTTTCTAGAGATAAGCGTTTCACTTAGCTATTTACCCCTGGCTGACCTCAGTATGTAGACCAGGCTGTCCTGGAACTCAAAAAGATCCACCTGCCTCGGCCTTTAGAGTGCTGGGATTAAAGGCATGTGCTATCATACCTGGCAAATGCTATGAGTTTTTTGTTTGTTTGTTTGTTTTAGTTTGGTTTTGGTTTTTAAATTTTGCTGTTGGCATTTTAGTTTGCAACTATATGTCAGTTCTTAGCTTTTGTTTATGTATGTATATAACTACATAGACAAAGGGCATTCACAGATATATAATGACTGTATTTCATCTATTTAGAACAATATTCAAGGGCACACACTGTTTTGTAGGTTATTATTTTCCTTGGTTATTATTTGTTTTGGTTATTATTTTCCTTGGTTTGCTCTGTTTTATGCCACAAAACAATTATAAGAGGTCAGCATACCAGCATTAGTTAAAAAAATCTAATGTTTTAGCTCCTTTGTTCTTAGAGTTGTAGATGAGTACTTTTTTGTGTTTTTCTTTTATTTTAAAGTGACAGGGCAATAATGCTTTTCAAAGATGGCCTCATTAATACAAGAGAAATTAATTAAACTGAATATAGAATTAGAAAAGATTTTTTGGGTAATACATGGACCCATTGGCTATTCTCAATTTTAATTTACTTACAAAAACCCAAAAATCCTAACTGTATTTTTACTTTAGAAGAATCTGAAGAGGTAAAATCTTTTTTTTCTTGTGAGAATTATACAATCTGAGGTTTTAAAATAGAATTTATTTTATTTTGCAGAACAAGTTGTTTATGGTCGTCAGTTTATTAGTCAGGCAGGTGACAGTTTAACCAATGTCAGTCTCTTTGAAGAACATTGTGAACATCTTTTCTGTGACTTAATATGCCTGTCACTCAACAGATATGACAAGGTAATGCTTTAAGAGTTATTAACATTAATAGTTTCTGTGTTAATGTTTCTTTTTTTGTATTTGATTACTAATATCTGGGAGCTAGATGTAGCAAGAATTTTGATATAAATGTTTACAATAGACTTGAATTCATCTTACATGTTAATTTTTAAAGTGGCACTTTAAAATAGTAAGTACACATTAATGTGGTAATGTGTATTGATAAGCATATATATTACATAATGCTCAAATCAGGTTAAATAGTTATTAAATCCTTTTCATTATGCTAAAAACATTCAGACTGCTTTGTTCTAGCTTTTCAAAATCCATAGTATGTAACTTCTCATTGTACATCAATGTACTGGAACTCATTCCTGCCTCTGTGTGTGTGTGTGTGTGTGTTATGTTAGTGTGTTAGACGGAACAGATACAAGTATGTAAACTGACTGAGGTTCATTCCAATATATATTCAAAAGAAGTGTTGAGTAAAGAATGTTATACTAGAAGATTCTTGCACTAATATCCTTTTTACTTTCTTTAGCTGCTATTACACTGCTGGGCCTATTTGAGTAGTAGTGACAGAACTTATTTCTAACAGAATCTTAAATGTGTACTGTTTGACCAATGATTGAAACATTTTCTTTTTTGTTTCTTAAACTGAAAATCAGGTTTATCATGTAGTTTGGTTGTAAAGGAAACTTTTTCTTAAATAGAGGACATATTTTAACTCTTTTAGCAATCATATATGTGGCATGTAAATAGCTCTGCTTCCTTTTGTAGGTTATGCCTTCAGAAGCATTAATGATTAGTCACTACCCGTGCTCCTGTGTTAAGGAATTATGGGTTCTACTTATTCACCTTCTAGACCACAGAAGTAAATGGTCTGTTGCAGAAGTAAGTTGGAAAATTGATTACTTGTTGTGACTACTTTGTTGAGGAGAATGACTGCTCAAAGCATACATAGTATTATATTTACATACTAGAATATTCTGATGTATTAGCCTGTATCTTCCAGAGCATATGCATTAACAGAATATATAAGGACATTATAAAAGATTGACTAACATAGTTATAGAAGCTGATCCTGGTGTGTATGTGACAAACTGGTGACCCAGGAAAATGGTCTACACAAGTTACAGTCTGAATCTTAAGGCATGAAAGCCTGAGAGTCAGCAAGTGTAGTCTCATTTCAAATTTTGAAGGGAGGGGAAAAAAATCACTACACCAACTTGAAGAAGTCTTCCTTCATCTGCAGGGCAGCCTTTAAATTTCAGTAAGAAGTCTGGTTAAATGGAGAGATTCACACACATTAAGAAGGGCAATCTGCTTTTGTGAGTCTACTTATTTAAATGTTAACTTCAGAAAATTTAAAATGTGTATCCAGAATAACATTTAAACACTGTATGGGGACTTAATGCCTGATCAACTTGACACAACAAATATTTATGTGTGTGTACACATAGTAGAATGAGGAAGAAACCTGAAGTAATATGATTTCCCTAATACATTGTGAAATGAAATGAACAGAATGCAAAGGATTATAGTATATCACCTTTTAAGTAGGAAATCAGAGAAAAGGGTGTGTGAGCACATGTACTGGTATACTCAAAGAAATACTGGAATGACAAGAAGCCATGGGCCTTGGTGAATTAAAACCATAAATTGCTGGGTGCTATGTAGAAGTTTACCAGCAGTGGGGCAGCAGCCAGAGATAGATCTCCTCTATCTATCTCTGCCTAGTGGCTCTGCACTAGGGAACCTGAGGGGTTATTTTCAGAGAGCTCTTCTGAAGTGAAGCTGGAGTTGCTGACTTCCCCTCAGAAAAGCATTTCAAGATGAGGTAGGATGAAGCAGTAGAGTTGGAGGGTCTTTTGTTTTGTTTTTTAAGATTATAATTACATTATTTCTTAACAAACCCTCTTATCTATTGTCTAACTGTCCCCTTGCACCCCTGCCTTTCTCATTCAGATTCACAGCCTCCTGTTCTTTATTGTTGTTTCATATATCTTTGTGTGTAATGACACTTTTCTCTGGGGAAGACTGTTTTCCCACTATTACTATTCCTTAGTTGCCTGTAATTCTTTCTGTAGGGTTGAATCCTCCTGAGCTTGCCTCCGTCCACATTAGTATGCCTCTTGGTGTCATCCTGTTCCGATTGTGTTTAGGCAGTCACATTGATGACAATTCATGGGTGTAGCTTCTCTGAAACAGCAAACTTCCTGTTTCTCTGACTCTTAACAATCTTTTCATCACCACCATCCCCTTCTGAAATGATCCCTGATCTTTAGGTGCATTAATTTGTTGTAGATGTTCTCGGATGGGACTGGGCTCCATCACTTTGCATTTTTTTCAGTTGTGCTTTTTTGTAATAGTCTCCATTTGGTGGAATGATAAGTCTTTTTTAGCAGAAGTGAGAAATAGATGTATCTGTGAGTATGAGAACAAAGTTTTAGAATTAGTTATATATTAAGTATGGGGCAATTAAAATTTTGTCTCCGATTTATGACTACACTAGCCCAGGGAAGTTGGCTAGGTTTCTAGTACCAGTTGTGATTTCCTTCTGAGTGAGTCTTAAGTCCAGTTAGAGAGCTGTTGGTTACTGCCAGGGTATGTGCACCAATACCCTTATGGCTATCATCCCTATTGGTTGTTGTAGTTCATAGTTGTCATAGCTGGTAGAACTATTGGTTGCTGCCTTCTATTGGAAACTAGTATGGAACCTTCTGGTATCATGAAAGCTAGTCCTTAGGGAGGAGGCCTTTGGGTCAGATTGATGTTGGGTCCTTTGGCCCCTGTGTCTCAAGTACGTCATGTCTTCCATTTTAAAGGTATGTATCTTCTCCCTTTGATGGGGAAGCAACCAAGGGCAGTAGCAAAATGTTTTAGAAGTCTCATGTGTAAACCTTAATTCAAAAGAGGGTTTCTTATGCTTGGTATTGAGTTTTTTGTTTGTTTGTTTGGTTAGATATTGTATTAGGTAAGATTCATAAAATGAGTCTCATATAAGAGTGGGGTTTATTAGAGTGGCTTCCAGGTTATAGTTCAGCTATTCCAACAATTGCTGTCTCCTGATAGAAAGTCCATGAATCCATCCAGCCCAAGAGTCTGAATGCCTGTCTCAGCTGGTTTTCAGTATATTCCAGAATTCAAAGGAGACTCTTAATCGAAGTGAGGGAATAAACTTGCCAGCTAGAATGAAGGCGAGCAGGCAACAAGCAAGAGCTTCTTTTTTCTGATGTTTATATAGGTGCTACCAGAAGGTTTGGCCCATATTTAATGTAGATCTTCCCCCTTAAAATGATTCAGTTAAGAAAAGACCCTCACAGGTTTACCCAGATGCTTGGGTTTTAGTTAATTCTAGATGTATTTAAGTTGACAACCAAGAATAGTCATCACATGTCTACCCCTTGTCAAGTTGACACATAATCATATCTCCTTATGGTGGTACACAATCACAAACACATTACGTTTTGGAATAGGTGGCAATGTCCCTTGAGGGACATTCTTTTAGTATATTAAAACTTGAAATTCAGTTGATGTTCTGTCAATTGGTGTTACATTTCATGATAAATACATCAAGGAAAGTAAATACAAATACCTGCCCAAACACATCCTAACAAAATATTGTAGTGTGGAGTTTGGCTACTCTGCTTTATGCTTCTGGCTGGTTGTGCTTCCAGCCACCCGGCCCACAACTCTATGGATCCGAGAATGAAAGACACACACACACACACACACACACATTAGCTTATTTTTGAAATGCGTTGGCAAAAGTTGGACAGTTCTAATGCTCCCATGGCTAGCGTACTTTTCCCGTTGGTACTCCTGTCTCAAAACCTTCTGTTACATTCTGTGAGGCTCATTGGTCTATGCTCCCCAAGACGCTTCGCTTCTGGGCAGCCCTACTAGGTAGCTGCATTCCCTTTTCAACTACAGTAGTATGGTCTTCCCTCTGCAGCTTTAAATCTGATCCATACCCCACCCCTCTGTCATGGCAGTTCTCCTCCCTGCATCCTCGCCTGTGCAGGTCTAAGGGTCCCATCCGGTCTCCCTTTTCCCAGCCTGTGGCTTCTGTCATCTTTATTGATCGATCAAAAACAAGTTGGGGACAAGGTTCTTCAGCATTTGGACATGCAGATTCTTGATTAAATCTGTAGATCAGGATGGTCTACAACTCACAGAAATCTACCTACCTGCTTCTATCTTCCATGTTCTTGGATTAAAGGCATGTACTACCATCTGGCTTTTTTTTTTTTTAAATGCCTTAATTCTTTGAAGTTTATTATTTTAGACTTCATGTATTGGGATTTATGTAGGGTGAAGAACATTGGCAAACATTTTTACAGGACTCAAGTCTGGAGCAGAGAGACGGACTTTTCTTTTTTTTTTATTTTTTTTTTAATTTTTTTTTTTATTTTTTTTTCTTCTTTTTTTTAATTTCTTTTTTGTTTTTTTTAAACATGAAATGCTTTTTTATAGCATGTTTTACAAGGGGAGGGGGTAAGAGGGTCCAGGTGGTGGAAAAGTACAAAATCTTCTTGGCCTGTGCCTTGAAACATGTCATGGTCTATATGGTACACTGCCTTGAATTATGATCTACCTGCTGTTCTTCAGAAGATATGGTACACTGCTTGAGTTATGGTCTCCCTGCTATTCTTAAGAAGACATGGTACTCTGCTTTGAGTCTATCTGCAGTTGCTAAGCAGGATCTTGCAGTTGCCAAGCTTCAGAGGACATTGTGCAGGTGGGGAAAGGTAGGGGGTAAGGGTAAGGGCGAGGGTCCTGGCTTCTGGCATCTCCCCCTTCTCTGTTTAGTTAGAGAAGGCGTCTTATGTTCAATCCCAACTATGTGAGTTTTGAATTTGGATGTCTAATTATGGGGGGTCTTAGACAAGTTCACAACCCCAAAACACTGATGTGAGATGAGTCACATCGATGGTCGAAGGCTTTAGGCTGTTGACGATGGGCAATGTCAAGGGACTCTGATGTGGGTGAAAGGAGGGTGAGAGCCCTGTCTTAGGCCATGTAGGCTGCACCCACTCCCGAGACTGACTTTTCTTAAATAATTTTTTTTTTTTTTTTTTTTGCTGACAGACCTGGGATGTGGACTTCTGTTATTTCTTTTTTAATTTATTTTTTTTTTAATTAGTCATTCCACTCATTTACATCTCAAATGATATCCCACTTCCTTGTTACCCCTCCAATAGCCTCCCATTCCACATCTGCCTGCCCCCTTCCCTTTGCCTGTATGAAGGTGCTCCCCCACCCACCCACACTTTTCTTATGTCTGTGTCTGATATGAACAGAGAAGGCTAGGTAGAAGACAGCATATGTAGGTCAGGTTGAGTCTAGAGTTTGGCTATAGCTAAGGTGGATGAGGTCAAGCAGACAGACTAGGCTGGTTTGCAGGATCCGGTTGTGATCCAACCCTGGATTTGGGTGTAAATCTGAGCATTTTGGGAAACGAGGAGGGCAGGATCAGGTGGACTCATCAGGCTAGACCTGGAGAAGGATGTGTTGAGTCGGGCTCAGTGGAGAGGTTAGAATGTGACATGCAAGGGGCCTGAGAGTGGTATGGGGAAGTGTAGACAAGGTAGATCTTGGTGGAAGGAGGCTTGGGGTTGCTTATGGTGCAGGCAGCATGGCTAGATTAGATTTGGGCACTGGAAAGGGACCCAAGCTCTATCTGGGGCATTGTGAAAGGGAGGGACTTGCAGGATAGAGCTAAGTGGTTTTTAATAGTTTATTTGGTCTGTTGTGAGCATAGGCATTAGGAAGAGGCACTTAGGCAAAGTCTATAAGTCACTGTAGAGCATAAGTGTGGTGTTCTCAAGAGCAAGTAACCCTTAAGTATCTTAATAGCTATGTGTGTATGATTTTTGAGACTTCTGATATTACATCTCAAAGGGTTGTTAAAGGAGCTTAAATGAGTTAAGGATAGTTCTAAATGTGCATCCTTAATTTAAATGAGTTCATACAGTAAGTAGTTCCAGATGTGCTTCCATGAGATTACCACTTTTAGAGTAAATGCCTAAAACTCACAGAGGTGGATGTGGGTCAAAAAGTATGTTGTTCATGTAAGTACAATCTCAGTCTCCTAATGTTCCAACCCTTTAACATGAGGTAGTTCCTCATGTTGTGTTGACCCCAACCATCAAATTACTTTTGTTGCTACTCATAACTGTAATTTTGTTACGGTTATGAATTATAGTGCCAAATATTCCTGTTTTCTGATGGCCTTAGGCAACCCCAGTCAATTGTCTCCCCAGAGGGGTCACAGCCAATAGGTTGGGAACCGCCGATTTATATAGTTTTGTGAAACTTGCAGAAAACTGCAGGTTTATATATGGGGAAGTCCAAAGCTGTACTCAAACATAAACTTTAAACTTTGTTTTTTTCTATTTTACCTTTCTTAACTTGAAATATCTCTACCAAAAAAGAAATATTGTCTTTATATTGGAAATATTCATAGCAATGTTAACCATGCTGGAACTCTTAAAATTTTTGTATTTACTCCTTTTGAGTATTTCATACAATATAAATTTGAGTGTATTCTTTCCTCTTCCCAAATTCTTTCTAGATCCTTCCCTACCTTTCTACTCACCCACTTCATGTTCTTTCTCTTTAAAACATAAATTAGGCATACATACACACACACCACCACCACCACCACCACCAGCACCAATGTAAGAGTTCAATTTGTATTTTTTTTACTACTCCAAGCATGGGTCCTGCTTTTGAGTGCATTTGATATACACAGTGTTACTCCATTAAAAATGTTGGTTCCTTCTCCCAGCAGCTTTCAATTGCAAAAGGCTTCTTGGCTATAGGTGGGACTTTATGCTGATTTGCTCTCCTCAGTGCTGGATTTTTGTCTGGCTTGGGTTTGCGCAGGTCTAGTTCATGCTGTCACAGTTTCTATTGTTCTGATTGCTTGACTCTAAACTCGCAGCAGTCCTCAAACACGAATGAAAGTCTATCTTTTCCCCTCATGTTCCCTTAATTTTCTGTGTCTTTCTACCCGCTTCAAAACAATTTTAGTGTGGCTTTTTATATATCTCTAATTTTAAAATCATGTTAATGTTTCCTATGCACAAAAATAATTTGTTTAGAAAGTGCACTGAAACGAATGTAAAAAGGAGTAATTGAAGTCATTTATGTTTCAAATGAATAAAAAAACACAGTATAGGGGTTGAAAATAATCTAGATAATGTTAAAATATACCAATTTGACTATGTACTTTTACTGTTTACACAAATTTGTAAAGAACTATAAACAACAGGATTTCACTTATTTAGCCCTGGCTATCATGGAAAACTTTTCTCCAGCTGCCTCAGCCTTCTATCAGAAGGTGTGAGCTACCATGCCAGGCTAACAATGAAATCTTTTTTAAGACATTTTTTTTTCTTTTTTCTTCTTCTTTTGCATTATTTGAGGGTTGACAATATTTGACCTGTCATCTGTAACTGAGAGAATTTTAAATATATTGTAGATAGTATGATTCAGGTTTGTCACACAATAGGAAGAGGAGAAGCTAGTGTAAGCCCTGAAATGGCGAATTAGAGCTAGGTATGGATGTGTGTTTGTATATATACATTTCCTATCTTTTTCACTAGAAGTAGTCAGTTCTAAATAAAATGGTGCAGATTGCTGGTATATACAGATTGGTTTGAAAAATGACCACTTTCTAGTGAATACTAACAAGACTTCTTAGAAAAATAGGTGGTTTTAGTCAGGTCCCTGAAAGATGAAACGGAGCCAGAACCATCTTATGCCAGATATTGTTTGTTCAAAACATGATGGGACATGTCTGTAAAACACAACCCAAATAAAGATCATCTATATATTAAACCTGGGCTAACTTGGTTTGTGAAAGACATAATTGAAAAGGGTTGTAATCTACATAGTACCTACGCAGGTACAAGTAAGTAGGAGAAGACACGCTTTTCTGGTAAATATAGGTCAGGAAAGCACTAGAAAACCAGTTAGTGTAATTGTTTTAAGCAAGATCTTTCGTTGGTTGCTTAGCATAGTGAACAAAAATGAAGTGAAGATGAGTTAATTCCATTTTTGTATTGTTTTGTTTTGTTTTGTTTGCTGAGACAAAAATCTCAGCATGGGTGACTATGACAATCTCTAAATTGCCTTCCTTTTACCTCAGTCTCTGGAATAATAGATATGTTGCCATTACTTTGAAGCTTAAAATAAAGTAGGATATGTTTGTAGTTTTTTAAATATCTCCACATAGTATTTATCACTTACCAAGAAGGAAATAGTAATCTCATAGATCTAAACAATCTGGAAAATGCCACCTTAACCACATAGTCAAAGTTAACCAGTAATAGGATAAACTGACACCATGCACCTCTCATAAGATGCAGTGAAAGAATAAGAACGTTTCTGTGACTTTCTTGCTCCGAATATGTGAGATCATCATGAAGAGACACCAGTCATCAGTTACTTCAAAGCATCACCGTTATGCATAGTGACACTTGAGAAACTGGTGTAAGTTAAGAGATGCTGAAGTGACATAGTAACTAAAGGCAGCTGAGTGTTTCATAATGGTACCAGGGAGACTTTGAGTATGGGTTGTGTATAGTATAAAAGAGAGAAACACAAATAGGGAGTAAGGAAGCATGTCTTGTAGTTGGAAAAGGAAAGGAGTAAAACATAAAAAAAAATAGAATAGTTTTCCATTTTTAATGAAAACTAATCAAATCAAGAAACCCAAAGTACCTGCTTAGTATATCTAAAAAAAAAAAAGCACCTAGTGCATTACAGTGAAATCACAGGGTTTAAAGACAAAGAGATTAATCAAGTAACAAAAATTATGCAGTGAAATTAGAGGCAGGGTGTGACATAGAGTGCTTGGATGCATTCCTTAGCATCAAACATATAAAAGTAACCATTTGATGGCTAGCTGACTTCTTAGCAGCAGAGGAATCAATTCAGTGGAAGTACTGTCTTCATTATAGTCAAACAAATAAAATTATCCATCAGCTCAAAAATCTTAACCAACAAAGGCAAAATAAAGCTGTTTCTAGTAGAATAACATTTAAAAAAGTGCTACAAGATGGAAGCATTTCAGAACAGTGCTACTAGAGTGGGAAAGGACTGAAGTGTAGAAAAAAAATATACAGGAAACAGGAAGTAAATAATTTAGTGTGGGCTATATAGTAAGTTTAAGGCCAGCCTGGCAACTTAGCCAGCTCTGCCTCAAAATGAAAAAAAAAAAAAAAAAACTTTAAAAAGCTTGAATAGAGCTTAAAAGTAGAGCACTTGCCTGGCAAAGACAAAGTCCTAGGTTTAGTTCCCTGAAAAACAAACTCTCAAATCACAGTAATGTTAGCATATAAACTGGGTTGGGCATGAACGAGTTAGTTCTGAGTGCTGTTTTGTGTAAGAACAAAACTCCTTTTCTTTACAAGACATTTGAATATATCTGTCATTTTTAAGGTCATCATTAAGAATAGATAGATTAATTAAAAGTATATGCAACTGAAACGAATACAGTAAGTTTGCAAATAGAAATAGAAGATTATTGACTTAAAAGTTAGTTTTATAATTATCTGTATGGATTACCAGATGATATATTTAAAAGATATACTTTCAGAACATTTTGTAGGATGTTGACAAAAGACACCTTTAAAGCATAAAATACATCAGTGTTCATAATTTATGCTCTGTTTTGTGTGTATATTTCATCATCAACAGGAAATACTTTAACTGAATTATGCTCTTTTTGTTTCTATAGTCATTTTGGAATTGGTTGAATAAACTACTTAAAACACTTTTTGAAAAATCAAGTGAACAAAGAAGACCTGTTTCCCTAACCCAGGCCAAGGACCCATTAGGCTTTAGTTGGTGGATTAGTGTTCATGTAGCATCATTGTACCAGATTGATCGCCATGGTGTATTAGACGAAATGGTAAGATTCAAGTCAAAGGGAAACGAGTTTTCTTCCTTTTTTTCTCTATATAATGTTTCTATAAACATCTCCTAATCTTGAAGAATTGAAAGTTCATGTTGTTATTGTTTGATAAATGAGAAGCAATTTGTAGAAGACTTGATCTTCAATCCTGTCTCTGCTCATAAGTACTTGTATGACTTTCAGTAAACTGCTTAAGCTTTTCTGATCCTCTTTTCCTTGTAGAAAAGTCATGGTTTGCATTGCTCCAAAGTTTGCTTCTAGTCATAAATTCTCTAAGAGTGTCAAAGGGAAAGCATGTGTCTCCCAGAAACGAATCAGTAGGTTTTGTATGTAACGTAATGAAAGTATTTCTTTTGGGGCTGAAGATATAGCTCAGTGATTAAGAAGAGCACATACTGCTCTAACAGAAGACCCAAGTTTTGTGCCTGCACCTACACTCAGAGGGTCACAGCTGCCTGTTAACTTTAGCTCCAGGGAATCTGCTGTCCTCTTAGGGCCTGCTGCAGGCAACTGCAATAGTGCACAAACCCATATACATATAAACATGTTTCTTTTGCATAACATTTGTTTAGAGGTATGTGCTTTTCTCAGTTTAACCTATTTAACAACTATCAAGTTTGCTTCAAACAAGAAGACAGACTTTTATCTATTGTATATATTGTTTAGTTGGAAACACTCTTTTACAGTATTACTTAAACTTTCTTGTGATGTAAACCACCTACTAAATATATTTATTTGAAACTCTATTTGATGTTTATAATTTCTCTCTATATATAATTTCTGCCATTCTCAGAAAACAGAATTATACCAACATACCAGTGCCATAAATTTGGACTTCTGAGGCTGAGGCAGGATGATTGACACAAGTTCAAGGGTGGCTTAGGCTTCACTGTGAATACCAGGTCAGCCAGGGCTGTGGAGTAAGTCCTGTCTCAAAACTCAGCCCCCCAAATAAAACAAGTAGGTTTCTAGTCCTTGCTGATTCTAGCAGTTGTCATGATTCTTTTTATGACCCACTTATTAACTGCTTTTCTGGAATAGTATGCTAATGTTTAACATGTTTTAATTATTAGAATATTACAGAAACATTAAGTGAATTAAAAAATCTAAAGTTGTAACATAAGCATTTTTATTTCTATTTCTGTTCAACCTTAATTCCTCTAAGAACACATTCCTTATTTTAATCAGTGTATATAAATGTGGTAATTTGTCAAACATTTCTAAGTTGTGTTAAATATTATATATATATATTAGGCATTATAATAGGTGTTGATAAGAGGATATATATAAAATATATTGTACTTGCTTTCCTTCAGGGAATATATGTTTAGTTTATTAATGCTTATTGGAACTGTGGTACCACTTTGTGGTGAGTGCTGTATTTCTGTAGTGGTTGATATTTACTTCTGGATAGGCCATGTGTTGTCCTGTCATTGCTGCCACAGTGTGTAATGCACTGGTAGATCATTCTGAGAACTCTGGACATTGTTGCTTTTATTATTATGGAGTCAAGATAGTAAGTGAATGTGTCTTTTAACTGGTTCCACTGTGAGTTTTAAAAGTATTTCTTTATAAATCTTATTTATGTGGAAAGATTTTTAAAGGAAACTGCCACATCTGAAAATAGAAGATTTCTGTGATAAAAATAATTATATATGATACATATTTATGTATGCACATGTAAAATAAAGGTTTCTTTCAGATGTATGTTCTCAGAGTTTTCAGTATTTCTGAACTTTGCTATGGCTTTTTTAAAAAAAAAGTCTAGCTTTTTCCATTAGTAATTGTTTTTATTAGGTGTGCATTTAAAAATGCATTTTGCACTTAGAGTGTATTTAATATCCCAATGATTATTTACTTCTTAGTATGTTAAAAAGTAGGAGAGAAAATGATATATTCATTTTGTAGGTACAGAAGCAGAGGTACATAGTGATTAAAGGTCACCTTATTTTATCACTTAAAGTTGATTGTTTTTAAGAGTTCTCCAAAAGATTGTCTCTTAGAGGTAGATAGCAAAGGATACAGATAGAATAACCATAAGTTCCAATTTACCATAGACATTTTATATTAGATGACGTTCATCCTATCTGATTTTCACTTTTATTTCCAAGTTACCTCATTAGCAAATTTGATGGTCATTCTTATGTATTACTACAAAGTCATTGGTTGATACCTTCAGAGTAATTATACAGATGTTAGTTTGGATCTGAAATATATTTAAATCATTAATTTGAAAATTGCCTTGATGCTTTTTCTTTTTTATGATTTATTGATATTGCTAGCTATCCCATGGAAAGTGGTTATATAGTTGTATGCTTTATTTCATTGGAGAAGAGAGGGATGATAAGATGTAATAATGGTTATGTGTTTTTCACCAGAGAGATATTGTGCACTAAATTATATGTTTCAACTTTCCCCAAAGTTTAATGTGAAACCTTTACATTTTTAGTAAGTTTCAGATATGACTATTATTTTTATAAGCCTGTAAAAACAATACAGCATCTCAGTTCTTATATTAGAAGCTCTAGCTTTTCATTCATTTCTGCTCAGTGTTCGCTCAGTTTAGATGAGAATTTGTTATCCTCTTAAAATCCCAGTCAATCTATTTTAAAACCAAACACAATTTAAAGATATGAAATTCTTTTGGGCATTGCAAGAATCAATTTTGACTCCTTTTTCCGCCAAGAACATGGGGTGATCAATCAGGCACTGATGGACCTTTTTAAAGCTCTTGAAATGGTAACGAAATAAAAGTTATAAAATGTAATCTTAAAATGAGACTTACACAAGTCCCTAAATAGTCTGCTGGAGGGTGAAAATAAGAGAGTCTTTCTGTTTCTGGTAGGGCTGTTACCTACAAAGTGGAGTAAGCATCTTGCTTTTTAATGATGGAATCAAAATATAGAAAACAGATCCAGGTTTATGACTTCTATGTGACTTGGCTTTTTGAAATTAGACATGTGGGCATTATTATGATGAAGTAATATTCAGGGAAAACACTATCATGCTTAAATTTAAATTATGTAGAAATGAAATGTGTTTTATTGGTTTGTTTCTTTGTTTGTTTTTGTGCTATATTCTCTTATGTTGCATTTGGACATGGTAGTTACCTTTTTTCTTTTTTTGCTTCTCAAGACAGGGTTTCTCTGTGTAGAAACCCTGTCCTGGCTGTCCTGGACCTCACTCTGTAGGTAGATCAGGCTGACCTCAAACTCAGAAATCCGCCTGCCTCTGCCTCCCAAGTGCTGAGATCAAAGGTGTGCGCCACCACTGCCCAGCTTACCTGTTTTTTTTTTTTTAAAGAGAAAGTTTTTATTTTTTCTTTATTGTTGTATGTGTACATAAGTACAACTTGCTGAGCCTACCTAATGATGCTTCTATGTATATGTGTTTAGGGCTGACCACTTGCTCTTTGATGTTGGATCAGAAAGAGCCTCATCCCTAGAGAAGATGAACTTTCCCTCACTTAGCAGTCATTAGTTGCTTGTAGCCCTTCATCCTGAGGTTGATCCTTGTATAGTCTTTACCATCAGCCTTCTTTTGATACATAGTTCAATTTGTTTAGATTAGAGCTATCATGTAGTCCACATTCACAAAATTATCTGTGTAAGAATTACACTCCTCTGACATTTTTGTGACTTCAATGACTTGACAGGACAACTGAAATGTACTCATTAACATGATCCATTTGTAAAACAAAAACTGAATCGCATCAGCCCTGTCCTGTTCCTCTTTATTTGGCTGTGGTGTTGACATTTTCTTTTGTTCATAATGGTCTACAAGCTGTAAAATAGAATCTGCTACTGGTCATGGTGTTTACTAGACCAATAGAAAGCAAGTTAGGCATGGATCTCAAGCTGGAACAGTCGTTGGTTGATCATTCAAATAATTCCTGTTCTACCTTTACCCTAGCACATCTCGTAGGCAGCATAAATTGTAGGTTGAAAGTTATGTGACTGGTGACCTAATTCCTACACTGGAAGTCTTGCTTGGTTACAGGAGGTGGCCAGTTCAGGCTTTGTATCCCCCACTGCTCAGAATCTTACCTAAGATCACCCTCATAGATTCCTGGAAGTTTTTCTTGCACTAGCTTTCTACCTTGCCCCTGAGATGTGTATCCCGACCCCATTCCGTTTTCTCTCCCAGTACTCTCTCCACCTTCTCCCAACCTGATCTCTCCTATTCTTATTCCCCCATGTTCCCTCCACCCTTGAAATGTATTTTATTTCCCCTTCCCAGGGAGATTCATGAGTCCTGTCGTCTGTCCCCCCAAGCCCTCCTTGATTCTTAGCTTCTGTGGGTCTGCGGATTGTAGCATATTTCTCTTGTACTATAGAGCTAATGCCTACTTATAAGTGAATACATACCATGTTTGTCTTTCTGGGTCTGGGTTACCTCACTCAGGATTTTTTCCTAGTTCCATCCATTTGTCTACAAATTTCATGATGTCATTGTTTTTAACAGCTGAGTCATACTCCAATGTGTAAATATACCACATTTTCTTTATCCACTCTTCAGTTGAGGGACATCTAGGTTGTTAGTAGTTTCTGGCTATTATGAATAAAGCATGTGACTAGAAGGAACTTATTCCTGACACTTCCTGGAGGACTAAGACTCAGAGGCTAGATAGCCCAGAGACCTAGGATAGAACCATATATGAATAGAAAAAGTCAGTGGAAAGATTCCTAATGATACTCTGCTATACTCATAGATTGGTGCATAGCCCAGTTATCAACAGAGGCTTTATTCAGCAACTGATGGAAATAGATACAGAGACCCACAGCCAAACATTAGGTGGAGCTCAGGAAATTCTGCAAAAGAGGTTGAAGAAAGATTGTAGCAAGCCAGAGGGGTCAAGAACCTCACACGAAAATCCACAGAATCAACTAATCAGGGCTCATAGGGATTCACAGAGACTGAACCAACAGCCAGGGAGCCTGCTTGGGGCTGCCCATATGTTACTGTTGTGTAGCTTGATCTTCTTGTGGGATCCTTAACAGTGGGAGTGGGGGCCCTCTCTGACTCTGTTGCCTGCTTTTGGGACCCTTTCCATCATCCTAGGTTGCTTCATTCAGCCGTAATACAAGGGGAGGTGCCTAGTCTTACTGCAACTTGATATGCATGGCTGGTTGATATCCATGGGAGGCCTTCCCTTTCCTGGTGGGGGGGTGGGATGGGGGGACCAAAAAACAGGAAGAGTGGATTGGAGGGGTGGTTACTGGGAGGAGAGGAGGAAGGGGAACTAGTCAGAATGTAAAACAAAAAAGAATGATTTAAAAAAATTAAAAAAGCTAAGTAGGATAGATAAGTACATAGGGTAGAGAACAGGTGAAGTACCAAATGGAGTTTCATTTTTGTCTCTCATGGAGAGTCAGGGCATACTAACATGGCATCACTGTGTGACAGTATTCAGAATGTATTCTTATTCTTAACCAGGGTATGCTCTATCTTTAGTGTTCATAGTTTTTTTTGATCTCCATTACATATGCTTGACTTGTAAGTGCCCACATAGTTGATCTCTAGGCCGGATGAACCAGAGTCACACTACTGTTCTATAGGGTTGGATCAAACCTTGCCCTAAGCCTCCATGGATATGACCAGCCTCTTCTCTGTCATATCCTCAAACTATCTAATATGATAGGCCTCCAAACCAAGGTGTTCCTTCCAAGCTTTGGTATCCTATTGCCTCAGAGATAAGTGATTATTTTGAATAATTAAGTCATTACTTTAATAATTGCTATATAACAAAAATATCTCACTCTCAGTTTCTAACAGTTGGGGATTTTTTTTAGGGTATTATCTAGGTGGTTCCTGCCTCAGGATCTTCTATGATAGTTTAGTCAAGTTGTCACTTAGAGGCAGTTCCTGAAGGCTTACTTGAGGCTGGAAGATTTAATTGTGGCAGATTGTTTTAGTTTCCTATCTTGTGGCCTTCAGGCCTGCTCACAGTAGAGTTCGTTAGGTTAAAAATTAACAAACTGGAGGCTTCATGGAAATGACATACTGTCATTCATATAGGTATTGGTAGTCTGTTGGTAAGCATCCCATCTATATAGGTGAGGGAATTATATAAATGCTTCAATCCAAGGGTGAGATCATAAAAGGCTATCTTAGTTGCTGAATACTACTGCTACTGTGTTTCTTTTAGAAACACAATACAATACAAAGAAAGTATTGCTTTAGTGCAGCTAGCATGTTGCGTAAATATTTTACGCAAGTAGTAAATGTATATTTTATTAATTAGAGCTTATCTTTATAACTGTAGTTATCTGACAGTCTGATAGGAGTCTGTCTGTACCTTGATTGATTGACTGACTGACTGACTGACTGACTGAGACTGCCTACCTAGTATCCCTGGCTGGCCTATAACAAGATCAGACCAGCCTGCCCTTGAACTCAAAGAGATCTGCCTCCCGACTGCTAGTATCAAAGGTGTACACAAAATGCTGTATCTTTATTTTTTAGAACTCTAGCTTTGCTTTTTGAAATTGAAAAACTTTTCATACCTCTTCTGCATTAGAAATTTCTTGATTTTTTTTTTAAAGTGCTTGTCATTGCTTTTGGTTTTGACTAGTGCCCACGTATCTCAGTATCTAAGAACTTAGAGAACATCCTCCAGGCTTTCTTGTAAGAAAAGTGAAACTTTGGGAATCTTTTTAAAAGTCTACTCCACTGTAGCTTTCTTCCTTGCTGCATAGAGTTATGAATAGAATTGGAATTGCCAGATAGATGATCATTTGTTAAATGAAAACATTATCAATATTGGACCAAAAAAGAAAATCCTTCTGCCACATAATAATCTTGTAATTAATAACATTAAATGTACAGAAAGAATATTAAGTTATCTTTTTATGTAAAACTACATAAAAGCTTGAATTTAATAAGGTAGATTATATATGGATATTATAAATAAAATTCAGGAAAATCTCATATGTAAGAAGGAGAGTAGGGAAGACTGTCATGTAACCTTAAAAATACATAATTGCTATATTATTTTTTCCAGTTAGATTATTTGTAACAACAAATTAAGTATTTATGTATAAGTCTATAGATATACTTTTATAAAATATGTCTGGATATGGTTTCTATTGGATTAGAACAACCGTAGGTTTATTTTTTCCAAGTATGTCAGCTAAGATTTTACTGAAAGAAATTAAAGATATTACAAAGGTATTTTAATGATAGAATTTTACACTTGTACCATAATTTTAAATATATTCATAATCAAGAGCAATAGTTTAACATAGCTTTATTCTCTCTTTTCAGAGACAGATGGAATCGAATTGGAACTTTATAGAAGAACTTTTGAGACAGTCCGTCACTGTTCAGGTATGCAGCTGAAGTGAGGCGGTGTGTGACTTCTGCATTTTATAGTGTAAATTTTACTTACAAGAGCTAAGCAAACTTAAAATGATTTAAATGATAATTTATTACAAATCTGAGATTCTTTGGAGGGTCAACTAAGTAATTCATATTAAATCCTTTAAAGATTTTTATTTTTAACACTGAATTTGTCAGTTAAAGGACAAAGATAATTATCTTAGTTGGTGACTTTGAAAGAATGTATTCAAAATAAGTGGAAGATGCTTTGGAGTTATAAGCTATTCCTTGACTGTATGCTAGTAAGCCAGGCGACATGATGAAGGAGATAGTTGGTGGTATTGGAAATGCAGCTCTATCCCTCTCACAGCAGGAAGGTGACTTGCCTTGCTGAGCAATTTGTCTTACAGGCTTGAATCGTATTCTCACTGATAAGGTCCTCGTTTCTGAGCACTCATTTCATACCTTATCATTTTTCTTTCCGCAGAGCTGTTAATGTAGTGCTTCATGGCCCAGAGGTCAGACTTGACCTCCTTTAAAATAGTTTTAAATGCACTGTTCATCTCATCTTTAAATATGTTGTAGCTCTGTAAAGTTCTATAATGTAAGTAACCCTTTATGGAAGGTTATAGTGTGGAATATTTTTTAATTTGGGGAATAAATTGCTTTTCTGTTAGTGAAGATTATTTAAAACTTGAATTGACAAATATAATGTAAAAATATGGCTTTGTGTGCGTGTGCTTATAGAAGTGATGTATATATGAAAACTAAGCCATCTCTCCACACCAAAAAGTTGAATATCTGAGAACATTGTTTATGTGTACTGTGTGCACCCACAGACACCAGAGAGAGTACTGGAGGTAAGGCAGCTGTGAGCTACCTTCTGCTGGTGCTGGGAACTGAACCCTGCTCTTCTCCAAGAGCAGTGTATACTCCTAAGCACTGAGGCATCTTTCCAGCCCTAAATACATGGTTTTTAACAGACTTCTTAAAATTATGGAAAATGGTATAGAATAAGGGAATAGTTGAGTATATAATGGGAAAATATAAGCTAATATAATATATTCTGTAATTGGCTGTAAGCTTATGAACAAACATCTTTTATGTATCACATTCAACTGACTCACTTACCTATCCTTCCAGAACAGTCAATAATATTTGAGACCATTTTATTTTCATCTGTAACCATTAAAGGTCAATATTTTTACAACTTCAAAATATAAAAAGATCGCCTACAATGCTATATTTAATTCTTTATGGTTGTATATAGCACAAAAACAGGTTCTGGATTCAAAGAATGTAGATCAAATTTGACATCTACTGCAAATTCTTTTCATTTTCTTTTGATATAGAATATTCTGTGTAATAGATTTAAGTGGTGTACCTTTCTCTTCACTTTCCCAAACTGCCTACTATTTTGGATTGAATATATTTTTTTGGATACGACATGACAAAACAAATTTCAGATTCCAAATAAACCCTTCAAGATAAATGTTACATGCCACTTTTTTTCCTGCCATACTCACACAACTATGCTCAGCTCAGTATTAATGCTATAAACATCAGGATGAGCTTAGATCTAGATTTGCTTTCTTAATAAAGTCACAATGATGAACTTGGTTAAATGAATATGCAGGTACTTAAGTAGAATGGTCTCAGACTCAGTCTTAAATTTGTTTCTGAAACATTTATGGAGGCTTTTTGAAGAATGAGACATGGTACTGAGCTCTAAAGATACTGTTCTTGGCCTGAGAGAACTTGTAGATGCTTGGAGTGTGATGGGCATACTTAACTCTCTCCTTTGCAGTTATTCATTCTTGGTCATCATTGTTTACTTGGTCTTTTCATATTTCTGTCTTCTTTCATATTTCTGTCTTCTTCTGTCTCCCGACTTTCTTACACAGTGTAGACTACACAATAAATACAGTCATTATCTTAGAAAATCTTTTATTCCTAAACTCTCCTGTGTTTAAATCTGAAAAGTCGTACTTATCTTCTACTTCATTTATTCACAAGAGAATATTGCTGGAGGAAATTCATCATTCCTTCTTACTTGTTCGACCTGTACATTCTTGATCATAAGTGTTAAGTAGCAGTCCACTTCAGACATTTTGCAAAACAAAAAAGGAAAAAACCAGAACAAAGACAATGTATCCTAGTGATTTAATTTAGAATATTTCTGTAGCACATTTAGATTTCCCTAGCCCACTAAACTTAATTGGCATTTTATTGAGAAAATCTACCTGGCAAATGAAAACTCCTCTATCTTTGGTAATTTGTATCTTCTGACCTCTTTTGTAGAGGAACACTTTTCTTTTCTAGAGGAAGTGTTCTTGTTTTTACCAGGAATTAATTTCTTTCCATAAACACTATATAGGGAAACCCATTTGTTGAAAAATTTTCTTTATATATTTCCATTAAAATATATTCTTCATCCCCTTTTATCTCCTCAGCCACCCATAATTGAGTTTCTGACATGTTCAAAGTGCTCTTGTCATAGGCACCACTTGTATATTGTTAAGTCTAAGAATCCATATTTTTCCTTATTTTTTTCAACTTGTCAGTAACATTCAGCCCTTGTCATCATTGGATGCATTTGAAATACTTGTTTTGGTTTTCATGATAACTAATTTTGTTCCCATTTCATTGGCCATTTGCTTTATAGAGTCATCCACATTCCTTTATTCAGTATCTAAGTGTTAGAAAACTCTGTGTGTTCTTTCCTTAACTTATTGGTACCTAGCCTCCTAGCTTTGAGAACTATTAAGAAAATGTTAACACCCAGGTTTTTACTAAGTGCTTTGACTTCTCTGAGTTCTAGACCTATGTGTTTTAATGATGTACTTAGCACCTGCTTGTGGATGCCCTATGCATTTCCCCTATTACCTTCTCACTATTCTTTGCCACAACCCATTTTATAAAAGCTGAAATCTATGAGTTTTTCTTAGTTGATATCTTCCTCTGCTTCTTTTTCAAGCCCATCTCTGGAGTTGTTCTCTTATCTCAGACTTGGATCTTTCTAGAGTTTCCTCCTTCCTGTGATCTTATTTTTAAATATTGTTGTTACATTTATTTATGTTTGTGTTATGTGTATGGACACACATGGGCCATGGACTGTGTAATAGAAGTCAGGATGGCTTGCAGGAGTCAGTTCTCTCCTTTTACTCTGTGGGTTCTGGGCATCAAACTCAGCTTGGCAGGAAACAATATCCATATCCCAGCTCTCAGCCTTCTAATAATGCTTTTCCTTCCTTCCTTCCTTCCTTCCTTCCTTCCTTCCTTCCTTCCTTCCTTCCTTCC